GTATTGCTGCCATCAAATCTGCTAAACTGTAGTTTGATTTGCCGCTTCTCGTTTCCATCTTCTCTTTTTCTTCTTCTCTTTTTTTGTTATCCCACTTCTGACTCCAATTTGTTACGTCTCCGTTTGTTAATTAACTTTCCGTAACTTCATTCCGACGAAACTTTAGCGACACAAGTCCTTACTTAATAAAACTGGTTTATTCTTTCTGAATATAACTTTACGATACACTTGATTTCAACAGTCGCTCTATAACAAACGCTAGAACGTCTCACGTGCTCGTGCTCGACAATACTTAATTACACACTCTCTGACTGCAGATCAATTACCTACACACATATATTGTCCCGTCACGTTGTGACCATCTTATATATACCAGATTACCCTATATCTAGTAAATGCTAGGGCATTCACGAAGGAACAAGATATTTCTAGAAACGTAGCGTGACACTAGTCACGTGACCTCGCTGACGCAACAAAACATACTCGCCCTTTCAGCCGTAGAGGCGTTAAAAATTGACGGTCAATCTCATTATTCCTTGGTAAAAGAGTAGCCCACGAGTTGGAGGTGGGTGGTGATGACTAGCTGCCTTTCCTCTAGTCTTACACTGCTAAATTATGGATGTCTAGCGCAGATAGCCCTCGTGTAGCTTTGTGCGAAATTCAAGAAACAAACAAACAGTTTTGTTTTGAGTTTACTTACTGATTGGAAGTGATTATCATACGATTATAAGCTGTAACGTGTAATAGAATAATACAAAATTATTGTCACTTTAATGATTAGAGTAACTAATACTAGTAGTTTGTTTGTTTTTGAATTTCGCGCAAAGATACACGAGGGCTATCTGCGCTAGCCGTCCCTAATTTAGTCATTGTAAGACTAGAGGGAAGGCAGCTAGTCATTACCACCCACCGCCAACTCTTGGGCTACTCTTTTACCAACGAATAGTGGATTGCTCGTCACATGTAACGCCCCCACGGCTGAAAGGGCGAGCATGTTTGGTGTGATGGGATTCGAACCCGCGATCCTCAGATTGCGAGTCCAGCGCTCTAACCACCTGGCCATACCGGGCAATACTAGTAGTAGAGGGAATATGATATTTTAATATTACTTTTATTTTTAATAAAAAATAATAAAGTTTATATTTCTTAATTAAGAATTTAATAAGTATTGAAATATTTATTATTTCTCGCTGCTGACACCGTAAGAGGATATATAAATTTTTTTAGCTAATTGTAATATATTATTTCATATATATTCAGTTTCCAAAATTATCAGGTAGTAAATAACATAAATTTCACGTGGTTCCTTAGGCTGAGATGTATATATTTATGTTCAAATACGGTTAGACTTCGCGGTTTGGGCAAAGTATTGATTTGAGTGACTTCGATTGTTTAATATCAGTAGAATTGTCGGTATGACAGACTAATTTAGGTAAGATGTAAACTCGTATAAAAAGTATTAAAATCCTAAGATTAAGATCTCAAACCACGCAGTTAAATCCTAAGTAAAACTACTAATACCAATACTCATTTAATGCAATGAGAAAACGAATTAAAGTTTAAACGTATGCGGTCTTAAAACTTAGAACTAGAAGTTAGAATAAAAAACGTGAAGTGTGTTACCTTTGCATATTGACGAAAGCTGTTAAGTTCAAAGTTCGAAAAAAGCAGCATTCCAAGGAGAGCTCCATACTTTTTTTTTAGCTCGGAAAACATATGTCATTTATAAATTATATTCCCAGTTATGAGTCAGTGTAACAAACATAAAACTTGTGAAGTTGTAGGTTTTATTTTTAAGATTTGTTTTATAAATGCAAAATAAAATACCAAGTCATGCCCTTCATGGGACAAGACTTGCCCAAACTGAGTAAATAATACCTAAAAGAAGAACCCTTAATCTCCACTGGTTTCATGCTTCAACCTTCATCTTACTCTTCAGCATCATCATAAATGACTGAAGTAATTGTAAGGAACATGGAATAATGTTTTTATTATAAAAGTAAGTAATTTTATATGAACCGTCTTCTATTTTCGAGTTAGTTACAACCTACAGAATAATTTAACTCCATACTTATGATGCTTGTTAATTAATTTTTATTCCACTTAGTAAAGTATTTTTTTAAATATTAAGATTAAAAACATATAGACAGATAAGTCCTTATTCAGCACAGCAGAATAAAGACTATAATTATAAGATATTTTTGTTCAATCCTAACATGTTCATTTTGCTATTTTATTTTATTCTATGCTCCTCAAAAAGTGCATAACCATATTTTTGATGCAGTGTAGGAAAGATAACTTTTGTTGTTCTGTGAGAAGTTTTAGAATATGATCTTCAAACTTTTTTGTTATGTAATTGTGTGTTTTGTTATGTAAGTGTATGTTATAACAGCTAGTTTGTCATTTTTATTTCTGATGTATATGCCACAGTAAAAGTTGTACCTTTCTTGCACATGCGGTCTTGCATAATTTTTTATTTTACTCCCAAAAATTTTAACCTGCCAGTTCTCCGAACTTTATTACTTATGATTCCCTCTGTTTATTAGATATACAATAGTAATTATTGAAATATCCCACATACTTTCAGGCCATTCAATTTTTACTTAGGGAATTACATGTTATCTAACCCCCTCTATCTTGGGACTTTTTAGATTTTATGTAGTACCATTTGAGAACTTGAAGGGTTTTATATACCCCTATGTACAAAGTTAGGTATTTCAAATCCCTTATCTGCATATTTATACATTGTAAATAACAGTGGATGTTTCTTACTTTTAAATAATATTGTGTATAAAGTTGTTAAATGTATCTTGGTCTGTTTCTGTAGTAAGACAATGGTGAAGCCTTTTTAGTTAAAGGTGATGATTCAACATCCATTTTTTATAGATTTGTATAGGATTTTACACCTGTGCTTGACCCATAAAAAGTTCACTTTCATGAGAAATTTGGAATATCCGTATGGCCCAGAATGTACTGATAATTCTTTAAAAAATCAATAGTTTTTGTAGTCCATTCACTAAATCTCTAAAGTAAAGGGGGGGCTTGGATCACAAGTATCAGTGAAATAACTAACTCCAAATTAATACTTAACTACTAGGGCCCTTGGTGGCATTTGTTAGCCACAAGAAAGGAGCAGCACTAACAGGAAGAAGTTATATGTGTGAAAAATCAAACTTTCTGAATCCATGATACTTGTTAGAAATATTTTGAAAATGTGTACTTAGTATACTGTAAACAATTAGTTATCTAATGATTTAAGTGAGAGGAAGATTTGAAATGGAAAATTTGACTTTGACCAAAAAATTAAAGAAAAGTTTAGCTATTTTTCTCAATAAAATATTTCTATTATTTTAACACCAAATCCTACTGTAATTTGAGAGAAGTTTGTTTGACCTCTGACCTCACCTAGGCTGTATGATTTAATCAACTAGGAATGATTTAGGATGTGTCAAGAAGTTATTTTCCTTTTAAAATGCATAGATTTTATAGCTCTAATGATGGCTAAATACAGATCAGTTAGTGGGAGTGGCCACTAGGGGTACTGATTGGATATCTCCAGTTTCTTCTTTCATTACATGGCAATGGTGTGGGAAGGAGTTGGAAAGTGGCAGTGTTTGGCTAGACATGCAGATAATATAACTTACAGTTGCCATATAAATCAAATATGTAGAAGTGTGGGTGCTACGGCACTCCCCTGGTTCTGGCGTCTCTGCATGGGGTAGACATACTTTCTGTCATTACTGGCATATTTAGGGGAAAAAATAGAAACGTTATTTATATTCATAACTGGTAAAACATCAATTAGCAGTTCCTATAAAATCAATAAATGATTTAACTTTCATAAACCTCTCACTGTGCATTGCATGGGTACATCTGCTAGTAGGAATAATTTGAAAAACTTTAATCACACAGATTGTTTTGTTTTTTTCTTAGTTATAAAAGCTTTTATATATATATATTTATGTATTGATTTATCTGTATTTATATATATCAGTTGTAATGTTTTTGTTGAATAGGTTCTTTTGCATTACTTGGTAAAAAGAAGAATGAAGTCCAGTCCATATAATGATGATAGAAGTTGACTACAAGTTATACCAGTTAACTTAACTAAATTCCACTTAGTTTAGAGTTGATGCTAATACAATTTCACTTACTTGCTAATTTCTTTTGCTCATTAGAGCATGAAAAATCATCTTTTATAGCTTAACTTGCATTTTATACTGCTGAAATTGTTTTAACACTGGAAAGGTTTCAGCTGGCATTAAGCTACATGCTCACCATGTGCCATCCAACCTCCCTCTAACCAAACAACAATACCAATGTCTAAGATAAAAACATAGCAAACAACAACATATCTGTATATATATATACACATACACACACACAATATAAAAAATATAGTTAGGTGTGAGAGAAGTATAGAAAAAAGGGCCATCATCTAAAACCTATTGATCATTTACCAGAATATCAATATATATAAATATATATATATATTGGAAAGTAGAAGACTCAGGCAGACATGATTGAGGATTTTAAGATTTAAAGTATCAAATTCTTGAATCCAAATAATGTTTTCAAAAACTTTGGAGACTGTAAGTGTAAGAATAGTGGACACACGTTTGAGATAAGGAAAACTCTGACTTGACTCTAGTTGAGCGGTATTACCTTCATAAGTAGATTATGTAAACCTGGAGATCAGTTTGCCTTCATGTATAATAAGAGCTATAACATTGAACGAGTATAAGAGATTGAATGAATAATTTAGAGATCAGAGATGGATATAAGAAAACCAGTTTCTTATTGTATTTTGGAGTTCTATGGTAATATAAAATGAGGCAACATGGATAAACAATCTGACATGACAGTGATTATGAAGTTTGTGTATGCGATGGAGGTGTGCTTCTGATAATATGGTTGTTAATACTTATTTAAATTGTTTCAGGTCAATAGGTAGTAGCAGCAATACAGATCAAAGGGAGGAAAATAAAAAGGAATATGAAATGTAGAATGTACCCCGTTTGCTTTTTTTAGTGACCAGTTTGCACAAAGAAAGGATTCTTCTTTACTACTCCCTCCTATAAGGTATTTCTAATTGTTAACAGCATTAAAGACTAAGATTTCTATAGACATTTTTCATGTGTGTGTGTAGATTAATTCCAGGATATTTTTTTTTACATCTATTTTCTGAAGGTAGCTACAGTTAATATGATTATTATTATTTTTCTGGGGCTGTACAAGATGTCACTATGTGTCATGGAAAATTTAAGGCTTCAAACTTATTGAACTAATTATCCTATTTTACCATGCTACATTTCCTGTAAAATGTCAGTGTATTTATTTCAAAAGAAATTAACAGTAATTACGTGCTTGAACCACTTGCAGTTGTAAAATAGGTCTACTGGCATATAATTGTTCTTACTGTCTTTTTTACTCTGTAGCCAATTGTTTTCATTCAGTTCTGATTTACCCTAATATATGTACATGCATAGAAGTATCAGTATATATTTTCTCACTTGAAGAGCACGTGATAAGACATAACTAAAAGTTAACACTGAAGATGTTGCTGACTGCCCATCTGAAGCTGAACTTAAAGCGTTTAGAGCAATGTCTCTCCACCACCGGTCCATCGCCCTGCTCGTCTAGTCCACAACAGTAGATGTAGATGTCTAGAAGTGGTATTGGGTGTTCTAATATATGTTTCATTACTTGTAGATGTCTTAAAGGGGTAAAATATTGCCATTCACATAAATAACAAAAGCAAACTTTTTCCGAGTGTGGCCCCTGCAACCTCTCGATAGAAGCAACATGCAACTACTAAGTGAGATGAAACAGCTTTATCACTTGCAGTGCTGTACCGATGTTTGATGGTAGCCGGTGCGACATATACATTCGGTATCTCCCAACCTAATAGTTTGCTTTGTTAATCAATCGGGTAGTCAGCATCCCCGTTGGCAGCTTGTGCAAACACACCTCTCGCAATACCCATGGTTGACCCTGCTCACTCGCCATCATATTATACATCACCTCAAAAGTCCTACTCTACGATTCGGTGAAGCAAGACACAAACAGGATGAAGAACTGTGACCGACTAGCAAAATGAGTCCAAATTTGATGCATTTCCCATTCACAGTTATAGTATTATGTCACTACAACAGATTGTTTTCAACAAGTGAGGAAGAAGAAAGATATCTTTGAACTTTATATTAAAGCAAACCCAGCAACTGTCCTGTTTCTGAGGACAAGTTTGTCAGTGCACACAGTACAGGGCAATACCTAGATTCCAAGTTAAACTTCCAGTTTTTTTAACCTATTTGAGTTTGGAAACACATTATGCTAATATAATAATAAGTTGGTAAACAACAATTTATAAGCATAATTAAGTGGTTTTATTTTGGGGGAACATACTACATGTTTGTGGTTTTATTTTGGGGGAACACACTACATGTTTTAATAGAACATTAGTTATACCCGAAGAAGACAGAACGTAGTTTTTTTCCCACAGAAATACACCACTTCATTATGCTTGTAAATTGTTGTTTTCCAAGTTATTATTCTCTAACATACTTAATGTAAACAGTATGAAATTGTTATTTGTAACACCAGTTAGCGAAGAAGTCACAAAGTATCTTTGCATTTTCCCAATCATTAATTAAGTTTTAGATGTAAATATTGAATTTTAGCTGTGGCAATGAAGGTTTGAAATTTGACGACACATCGTATTTATTATTGTTACCCAATGTTCTGTAACTTTATACTGTTCAAATTAATAAAACCTTCTCAGAACAAACACAAGGATCTGAGTCTATAGACTTCAACTTCAACCTATCACCACTGAAAGCTACATACAAGACCAGATTTTATAATACACATTATAATCAATTGAAATTTGAGGACCAGGATACCGTAGTAGTAACATGAACGTTTACAACGAGACAGGTTTATCACTTTTGCAGTACACATTATTCTGGATGCTGAAATGTTTTAAAGATTTTCATTTATAAATAGTTAGATTTTTGTATAAGGTGCGTGTAAAATTAATTCACATTTGTAATGAATAAATGTTAGTTTTTCTTGTCATAGTTTTCGTAGTGGTCTTATCATTTCCCATAATGCACATGGACAATTTCAGCCAATAATGTTTATGTTTGGTGATTAAGTTTTGTAATTTATTGAGTTCTTGATACACCTTATTCATACATCCTGGCCCCTGGTGGCTCAGTGATAAGTGTGACGGCTTATAATGCTAAAATACAGAGTTCCCCATGATGGACACGCCACAGAAAGTCTATGATGTAAGTTTACACTTACATAAACATTTTATTTTTTTTATCCTGGACGTAGCAGGATATGTATGTATGTTATATACAACTCTGTATACATGATAAGAGTTAACCTCGGTTACAAAGCTTGCAGATGTGTTAGCTCCTTTCAGTTGGTACTAAGGGCTATCTTGAGGGTTAGGACTATCATATTTAATGATTCATTAACAGTCAGCCTCTTAAATATGATAGTCCTAACCCTCCAGACCATGCGGATTCATTAACAGTTGGCCTGGCATGGTCTGGAGGGTTAGGATGCTCTTCTTGCAATATGTAGGTTGCAGGATTGAATTTTACCACCAAACATGCCAGCTTTTTCAGCTGTGGGGGTATTATAATGTGATGATCAATCTAACTATTTGTTGGTAAAGAGTAACCCAAGATTAGGTAGTTTTGACTAGTAGCTTTCCATCTAGTGTGTCACTTCGAAATTAGGGATGGCTAGTGCAGATAGCTTTCAAGTAGCTTTGTGTGAAATTCAACAAAAGAAACAATAATTAACAGTTAGCGTAATTTTAAATACATATTAATGCATTTTTTAGGAACAAACATTTGATTTTATTTTTCACCTTTATTTTGCTCTCTTTTAATTATTTTTTTCCTATTTTAAGCATTTCTGTACTACAAGGACAAGGTTTTGTTTATAATAATTTTTAACTTATTAGTTTGAGTTATGAACAATAAATTAATGTACATGTACTCAATACTTTTCTTCTTTTCGGTCATTGCTGTATTAACAGACGTATAATTTGTTAAGTCTATAAAAAGATGTCGGAGGAATTTGTTCTATAGTGCTGTTAGATTGGAGAAATTTGATGTGTAATTACAGCTTCTGTTGGTATGAGTAGCACGTTTGCTTTGGCAAGATGAGACAAGAGTTGGGTATAATATTAATTGGATATTTTTTGTTATGCTAGTTACAAGTATAAACTTCATTAAGTTAAGAATTTGATTCAGAAAATCTAGCTTCCATTCTCTTTCAGCCTCAAAGCCAGGATGTTGCCATTTGCTTTTGTTATAGTCATTTTCTTCTGGATTGTTGTGGGATTTTTTGACACAGTTTTCAAGGTGAGAATCAGAATATTTTTTTATGTGGCATGATTATATGTTCATTTTTATAATAACCATAGTATAACTTTATCGTAGTGTTATGTAGCTCAAGCAGTTTGAAATAATGATTGTCGAGTGTTGTTTCATGGGCTAAATCACATTTTGGAAATTGATAATAGTAACGGTAGTTTATCTAGTTAATGGTTAACATGTTTACCAAGTTCTTTACTACATGAAGTAAATCTAGTAAACAGGATTAAAATTGGTTTTTCAAATATATTTATATTGTATTTTTGTACTGATACATTGTAAAAAAAAAACTCAGTGTTAGAGTTTTCATTAACATCACAACTGGCCTAGGTGAGAGAAGAGAAAAAAATGACTCGAGTGAAATCTGAAAAGTCAAAGCTACAAGATCATACTAATGAGCTAATATCTTAGAATGTTGATCATCAAAACCTTAGGTTTAACAAAATTATAATTAACTCTGACAACTACAGTTATTTTATTCAAATAATTAGGGTTCTGCTCAGTACATATGCATAAAGTTCAATTTTTAGAAAAATAAATGTTTCAACATAATTTTTCCATCAAATATTTGTGGAGGCATTATTTATATGTAGTCTGTGAAGGCGTTATTTATATGTAGTCCGTGAAGGCGTTATTTATATGTAGTCCGTGAAGGCGTTATTCATATGTAGTCTGTGAAGGCATTATTCATATGTAGCCTGTGAAGGCATTATTCATATGTAGCCTGTGAAGGCGTTATTCATATGTAGCCTGTGAAGGCGTTATTCATATGTAGCCTGTGAAGGCGTTATTCATATGTAGCCTGTGAAGGCGTTATTCATATGTAGCCTGTGAAACCGTTATTCATATGTAGTCTGTGAAGGCGTTATTCATATGTAGTCTGTCAGAAAAGATAAGAATATTCAATACTTAATATGCAGTTAACAGCCTTAAATCACTGGAGTATGAAAAGCAAAAATTAATTCACAGCCTTTGTTATAGGAATATGAAAAAGAAAATGTAGTTAATAAGCCTTTAATGATAGAAGTATGTAAATAAAAATTGTGCAAAATCAGTAAAAATATATATGCGAAACTGGTTTATTTGGGTGATTTAAGATAATGCTCATACAAATGAAACAGTCACAGAGAACTCGCATGTCGGTAATAGTAATTTCCTTTGTGTGTAAAACATTTTCAGTAATAACTGTCAGATTGAATGTTTTAAATACAGAAATGATCCGAGTGAATTTAGTATCAACAATGTGTATTGTTCATGAGTTAAATTGTGGACTATGACACGT